GCTGAAGGAGGCTGGAGACGTGATTGTTAATGCTCATTCACAGAAATCTCTTTGTTGGAGGAGTGTGGTTGATTGAGGAGAGACAAGTATCTTTTCTGGTTTTCAAGATTACCTTTTCAGAGTAGTAAAAAGAATCAAGAGACCTGGTTTCTTATCTTGACTCAGCCACTAAGACCAGAACCTCCTCTCAGGACCTCAGTTTCTCTATTTGCAAAATGAGGGGAGGCCAGGTTAACTCATCTCTGTGGTCCCCTCCAGCTTTAATAATATTTACTAATTTCTGCACTCCCACCCTCCCCCACAATCAGGTGAACATTCCAGATTGGATTGTTGAACTTCGCCATGAGTTGACCCACAAGAAAATGCCCCATATAAATGACTGCCGCAGAGGTGAGTCCCCAGGGAGTGTATCACAGTTAAGCCCAGGGGCCTGGGTTGGGTGGCACTGTGGGTAGGAGAGGGAGGAGAGTCTCCCTAGGGTCATAGCCAAGATTAGGGTGAGACAAGTGAGGCACTCGCCTTGGGCACAAACTTTAAGGGGAAATCAAAAGTTCAGTAATCAAGATAGATAACATTTTAATGTGGAAAAACCCATGATGAACAAAATACCAAAATTTTAAACGAAGACAGGATTAGCGTTACTGAATTCTTTTGCTTTAGGCTCCAATATAGGTTGGCAGGGCACTGTTCTGATCCTATTTGATATCTCGATTACTGAGTTTTTTGGCATTCCCTTAAATTTTGTGTCTGAAGAAGTGATGAGTAGGAGGTGGGTTGAGAGGCATGAGCCATCAAGTATCATGAACCCAGGGGTTCTCTGGATACCCCATTCCAACTAAGAATCCCTGATTCAGTCTAGCCTGTTTGTGTTGGAGAAACTAAGATCTAGAAAAGGGAAAAGACTTGGCCAAAGCCATGTAACTAACTAGTGGGGCTATCCTTTTTCTCTTACTTGCCAGCCCTGTGCCATTTTTGGCATCCTGTCTCTAAGCCTGGTATTTTTTTTTCCTAGGAAAGGTGCTACTAAGCAGGAGAAAGCAAAGAACAGGGATAACCTAGAGCAGGAGGGGCTTCTATGTCCACTTCTGGATATTTGAGATTTGTTCTTTCTTGGAACCAAGCCGCTTCTCTAGGGCCTTCCCACAGTTCTTGCAAAATGATTTGCTAGATGCTGCTTGCCAGCGGCTGCTTTATGATACTGCCTTCTTTCCTCCTCTCCTTTAGGCTGCTATTTTGTCCTGGGTTGGCTCCAGAAAACCTACTGGTGCCGCCAACTGGAGAACAGCCTGAGAGAGACCTGGGAGTTGGAGGAGGACAAGGAAGAGACAGATGAAGATGACCAAGAGGAAGAAAAGAATATTGTTATTGATGACATCACAAAACAGAGACCAGAGCCTAAGGATGAGAGGAAAGGTGCAGAACTGGATGCCAGGGCTGATGGAGACAGCAAAGACAACAAAGAGGTTGATGCGCGTTTGGAAAAGGCTCGGAGACATAAAGAGCTATATGGTAGGTGTCCTTGAGTGAATAGAGAGAGGCCCATGAGCCTGGAAGACTCAGGCTTAGGATTGACACTGGTTATTTCCCTGGCTCAGCATTTCCTCTGGGGTTATGGTGAGTCTTAGTTTAAAAGAATTACTGTCACAAACTATCTTTCTTAAGCCCTGTGAAGTGGGAGAGGCGAGGATTCTCATTACTCAAGAAATGAGGTGAGAGAGACTCAGAATCCCATCAGGAGAAGGGGCTGAGGTGGCTGCCCTATCTATTTTCCTCTTCTCTTTTCAGAAAGAGCCCGAGAACTGCTGGTATCATATGAAGAAGAGCAGTTTAAGGTAAGAAAGTGCCCTTGACTCGATGTGTTCTCACCTGCCCCAGCCATTTCTTCCTTCTTGCCAGCTACCCGAGAGAAGTTCTGAGAAGGAATTTGAAAGAAAAGTGGCAAAGCTTGAGGGAACTTCTCAGAAAGAGAAAGGGGGGAACTAGGAAGGAGACAAGAGGAGCAGAGTCCAGTTGGCTGATTCTCCACACCGATGGAAGGGAGCAGATGACGGAAGTTTGTGGATAATCTGTTCCACTGGGTGGTAGGGAATAACGGCATAGTTGGTTGCATAGCCCTGCAGTACTGCAGCTGATCAGCAGATGGTGCCTAGGAACTTTCCTAGATCAGGTGAACTTGAGGGGCTGCTGTTATTAGCAGGAAAGGGAGGTAGCTTAGAAACCATTTAGCTCAACCCTTCCTTTTCACAGATGAAGAAATTGAAGCCATGGATAAGTGAAGGGACTGGCCCAAGGTCACATGTGCAGTTAGTGATAGAACCAGGATTAGAACTTGGGTCTCCTGATTCTCTTTCTTCCATAACCCATTGCTTCCTCTCACCCCTTGGCCTAAGGGTCTCTGCCCAACTCCAACCAAATGCCCCCACTGATTGCTCAGTATTGGAGTATCTGGTGATTGGGAGCCATAGGTAATTTGGGGGCAGGGGGAGGAGGAGGAAGAGGAGAAACTCTGGCATTTGAGGGGCAGGATATTTTTAGTTGCAGGGCTAATAGGGGAGTCATGGGCCCACCTCTTCATGCCCTGCCCTGTCCCCTTGAAGGGAGGTGCTGAGAGGTCCTATGGGAAGGGATCCTGGAGGGGTTGGGGCGGGTTGACTGGCTGAGTCAGCCTTCTCATGGGACCCTCTTTGCTGGCAGGTGCTGGAGAAATTTAGGCATTTACCTCCGGCCATTAAGGCGTGGAATAACCTGTCCCCACCTGTAGAATGCATCCTGGCAGAGCTCAAGGGCATTACATGGGAGAACAGGTGTGTAACTAGGTAATCAGGGGCTGCCTACTCTCTAGGGTAGAGTGTAGCAGCCTCACTGAAATCAGTTTCCATGTCCCAGCTTGCCAACCTCTGCTGTAGGAAATTGCAGGGATAATCCTGATTCCCCATAGGGTGACCCTGCATTCTGCATGACCCTTTTACCCTGGCCCTGCCAGCTACCAGGTGGGGCTTGCCAACTCTGAATCACTAAAATGGCTGGAGGCAGGAATGTCTCCTGTCATCCATCCCCTAGCTAGCTTTGTTCCTCTCTATCCAGTGGTATGTGGAGCTATTGGCAACTAGGAAAAACCCTTAATCCTTACAGCCTTGCTGCCCAGCCCTTGTCTAAGTTCGAAGTAAAAGATAATGGCAGGCACTGCTGGTCTTTTCTTTTGAAATGCTATTGAAGAATATCAGCATTCCCTGGATAGTCATGGTCGGGAGAATAGGAGGGGCCTTCCCAGGGCCTGCCTCTTCAAAAGACTAAGTGCCTCCTTCCTCAATATGGCTGTGAGCCTTCTTTTACCTCCTCCCGACATAGTGCTCAGTTCAATCCAAAGCAGTCAAACAATGTCTATCCATTCCTTTCTTCCTTAGCTCTTGCAGGCTTGCTACCTAAATTTGGCTGGGAAGGGCTTTGGGGAACCTTCCATTGAGAACCTATAGAGGCAATGCTAGACATTTCCAGCTAGAGAGACGTTGGAAGGAATCTGGGATGGAGCAGAGTATAGAAAGGTGGTGTACAGGTGGCAGAGTGGGCTTGGGTAGGAGCCTGCAGTGTGGGTTGGGGTTGCCCCTGGAATCTTCTTCACTCCCAGGATACTACTAGGTCCAAAGCTGTTTTATCAATGTATGCCCAGCCTAGGCTTCGTTACTGCACCCATCAGCAAAGGAGTATCCCCCTCTGTAGTTGGGAAAACTATCCTTGTGCCCCTGTATAGTATCTGCTTGGTTGTACTGAGCCAGCAGCCGACTGGCTGCTTTAAGTGCTCTTCTTGGGTACTGACGTGAGGAAATGGGAGATGGATGGGAGGATAGACAACTCTTTCCTCCTTGAGCCTGGTGGAGGGAGGGATCTGAGCATGACACTTCTCCAGATATTGAGACACCTTGGGAGCTTTTGTTCCCCCTCTAGGCCTATTCAGCTGGGAGAGCAACTCTTGGAGAACTCCTAGCTCTGGAGGAGACAGCTGGCTGTTGCTGGTTTCAGTTTGAGCTGGATGGGGATGAGGAATTACTCCTATAGCCTACATGTTCAACCTCTAGTACTTCTGGGCTCTTGGGGTCCTTAGGAATAAGGATCACATTTGGTTTAGCAATCGAATCCCCAAAGTTTCTGTTTCTCAGATCTGAAAGAGAGCAACTGGTGAGAAGGGGAGGGATAGAAGACTGGAGGATTGTCAAGAGAAACTGAGCAGGAACTAAAGTCTAAAAGTCCTTGATCCTGTGTCCCCAGGCATTTAACTCCATTGTGGGCTTGAGACTTTTCTCCATCTGTGCTTTCAAGCTTGTTTAGCTGCTGCCGCTTTCATTATGGGCCTTAGATATGCTTGGTAAATGCTTATTCAAAACCCACTGATCCAAGTCTCTGGCCTAGCCCATGCCCTAGGAAGCTGAGGCCTGAAAACTTACCTTTCTTTTTCCTCATGCTGCTTTGACCACTTGAGCCAGAGGCATTAGCTGCCTTAGGGGTGGGTTGAGGAGTAGGAGAGGATCTTCTGCCTGCTTCAGTTTGCTTGATTGAGTGTCCTCTTGCTCCAGGGAAGCTGTGCTGGATGCTTTTCTGGATGATGGCTTTCTCATCCCCACATTTGAGCAGTTGGCGGCTTTGCAGATAGAGTATGAAGGTAGGGTCCTGGGGGCTCACTGCAGCCTAGGGTATTGTGACTTTTGGGCAAGAGCACCAAGGGTGGGCTGGGTGGCCCTGGGCTGGGGGGCAAGGGCTGTTTCCTGCCATTCCATAACCTCTGGAAGCCCCTCTGGGCTGAGCAGGACAGGGAACCTCACTGATAAGCCCTTGCTGGGCTTTCCTTAGGAGATCTGAAATTGGGTGGGGTGGGGTGGGGTAGGGTGGGGTGTGGTGGAGTGGGGAGTCTTAATGCCATTATTGTGCTGTGTTAATTGTGATTTAGCTACTTGCTAGAGAGCTAGAACAGCAGAACTGGAAGGGCCTTGTGAGGTCATCTAGTCCAACATCCTCATGTTACAGATGGACAGACTGAGGTCCAGAAAGGGGAAGGTACTGACCCAGAGTCACACAGTGAGTTATTGACAAAGCTGAAGCTAGAACCAGAACTCTTTTTCTTTTATACTCTGTTTTGAGTCGGTTGTTCATTGCCAGATACTAACTAGTTTTTCTCCTCGCTGTTCTACTCTCCTCTTTCCTCTTGTTCTGTGGTGGCAACTCTGTTTTTGTTGTTGGTGGGGCCTCCTCTCTTTTTCCTTCTCCCCTCCTGTTTTCCCCTTCTCTCCCTCCCTCCTTTCCTCTCCCTCCCTTTCCCTGTCTCCCCTTGGCCACCCCTCCCTTTTCTCTTTCAATGGGTGTCCCTTGCAACCAGAAAACATGGACTTCAATGATGTCCTGGTGCCAAAGCCATTCTCTCAATTCTGGCAGCCCTTGCTCAGGGGCCTGCACTCCCAGACCTTCACGCAGTCCCTGCTAGAGAGGATGCTCTCCGAGCTGCCAGCCTTGGGGAACAGCGGGATCCGGCCCACCTACATCCTCAGATGGACCGTTGAACTGATCGTGGCTAACACCAAGACTGGTGAGGGAGACTAGCCCTAGTCCCAGGGCTTAATGCAGCCCAGACAAGAGCATCTTCCACTATCCTCAGCTCGGCTGAATAGCACCAGGTGGACACATCCCTTGTTAAAGGTTTAGGTTCGCCTAAGAGGGCCCTGTGGAAGCAGTGGACAAATCTCTCTCCACCTTTCTCATCTCAGAGGCAACTAAATTGGGCTGGGGGCAAAGGGCCCTGAATGCTTTGAACAATTGGGAGGTATAGAGTGGGGAGCCTGGGGGAATGGGGAGGGACAGAGCCAAGCTTTTCAAAGTGAAAGGTTGGATGGCAGGTTTACTGGTTCCTTCTCCTCAGGCACTCTCTTCTCTCTCAGGACGGAATGCCCGCCGATTTTCTGCACACCAGTGGGAAGCGAGAAAGAGCTGGAGGCTATTCAACTGCTCTGCCTCCCTTGACTGGCCCCAGGTGGTTGAGTCCTGCTTGGGCTCACCTTGCTGGGCCAGCCCCCAACTCCTTCAGCTGTAAGTCTCTTGAATTCCATCTGGTAAGAGGGTGAGGCCCTGCAGGCCTCAGGGCCACGCAACTCTAGAAGCAGAGTTAGATGGGCCCTTGGAGGGACACCTTAGTCCTGTCTCCTTCCTACTAACTGATGGGAGAACTGAGTCCCAGAGAGGGGAGGGGTAGGGTATTCTTGCCTAAGATCACACAACTTAAGACCTGGCTGAACTGAGTCCAATGTGAGAATGGATGACACAACTCCCTTAGAGTGCTTAGCACAGTGGCCTGTACAGAGTAAGTGCACAATAAATGGTAGCTGCTGTTTATTATTGAACCCAGTCTTCTGATTCTAAGCCCAGTGCTGTTTCCTCTGTTATCTTCCCAAAGTATACCTCTCATAGGTGCTCAGCAACCTTCAGTGGCTCTCTATTGCCTTCCTGATGATGTCTAGGCTTCTTAGCCTGACATTCAAAGATCTTTCTGATTCCGCCCCAACCCATCATGGTAACTGTACCTCCTGTGATTCCCCTTTACCCAACCCCGCCCTGGGCACTGTGGTTCAAACTGAATATTGCACTGGTTCCTGTAAATACCTGTGGTTGTCTCCCTTTCCTTTTCTCTGTCATTTCCTCACCCCTAGCCCCTTCTCTCATACTCATGGAAGGCTTTAACACCCTATTCTCTTTCTGCTTCCTGGAGCAATATCTGTTTCATTTGAGTGACCCATCTGACACTGCAGTTCCTCAACTCCAGTGACCTTCATTCTCCACAACACTCAGCAACCCATTTCTACACTCAGAGCTGTTCCATCTCTGAAAGCTGACATCCCAGCATCCCACTCGATAACCACCACCTCTTGTCCCTTCAGCCCCCACCCTCACATCCCATAGCATTTGCTCTTTGCCTGCATCTAGACCTCCATCCCTCCATTTCCTACCTCCCTCAACCTTGCTTCCCCTCAATCCTGTCTGTGGTTGATCACTTCAGCCACTCATCAGCACCCTTGGCTCTGCCCATCCTTTGTCGTATCTGACTTGCAAACCCCCAAGCTGGGATTGATCCCCACTCTGCTTCCCCCACTCCTCAGCCCGAGGAGCTGAGCTCTGCTGGAGAAAACCACATAGCCCTGCGGATTGCTGCCACTGCAGAGGTATGATTTTTAATCTTGGGCCAGGCCTCGGTTCTGCTTATCTGAACTTTTACTTGTTTTCTGCCCACTTTCCCATTTCCTGACTGTTCTAAACCCTTACCACTCACCTCAAGCCCCTCCCCCTTTCCCATTTCACCCTAGCTTCCTCGAGCACATGGAGGCATCCAGCAGGGCCCCCTCGACCCAAGGTCCAGTCCTCGTGAACTGATCTGCGGCTACATTCAACCTTCTCGCCAGTCTCAGGATGAGGTGGTCTTGCCCCACCTCAGAGCCTGCTCCTCCACCTGTGCTCTGGAGCCACCTCTGCCAGCATCGCTGGGGCCTCATCCCAGCCTCTCCCTTGCTCTACTGGCTCTTGCTCTTCAACCTATGAACGTGCCTGAGTTTTTCTCATCTTAAAACAAAACAGCAATAACAACAACACAAGTAAAATCTTTGACCCTGCATCCCTCTGTTGGGTTATCACCAGCTTATCACTCCTTCCTCTCCCATCAAAACATTTCAAAAGAGTAATCTACACTCAACAATCTCGATTTCCTCACTACCCTCTTATACCTCAACCTGCCACAATTTGGTGTTCACACCCAGAGCTGCTTTGACCTAATTACCAAATCCAGTGGGCCCTTGTCCGTTGCTGTGTCTGCTGCATTGATGCTGTTTGCCACTCCCCCCTTGAAATGCCTGTGCTTTTTTTTTACTAGCTCCTATAAAGTGCCGAGGCCCAAATCTCTTTATCTAGCCCAGACCTTTCCCTCAAGATCAACCTCCTATATTTAACAGTATGTCAGACATCTCCCCTTGGGTGACCCACAAGCACCTTACTGTGACCAAAATAGAATTGGTCATCTCACTCCCCACCTCAACCCCAAAGTGGTCTTCCTCCTCTGCTCCCTATCTCATTTGGTGCAGGCACCATCTACCTTGTCCTGTTGACTCTCTCAAGTACTTCCCAAATCTGAGATTTTGTGTTGCCATGTCTACTTCCCTAGTGTCTCCTTCCCTCTATCAGACTAAGCTTTTCAAGGACAAGGGCTCTGCATTAGCCATCTGCGCCCCAGCATACTATACAAGTCCAGGCCCCAAACAGGCCTCAGTAAATATTGTTGAACTAAACTATACTCTGCTGTCTCATTGCCAGCAGTGCTATCTTTGGTGGGAGAGCTGACTCCATGCCTGGGGAATGAATGAAATGGGAGTCTGGATGCCAAGACTCTCTTAGTTCCCTGATTCCCCCATAGAGTCAGAGAGTCTTTCTTGAGCCCTGATGCCATTTGGGGCACAGTAGTAGCTTGTAAGAGAAAACCATAGCCTCATAGACAAAGTCAGCCAGGGCAAGACCTGGAGATGGGACAGAACCAAACAGCCATATCGCCAGATGTGTGTGCTCTAGACTAAAGTGATATGGATGGGTGGGAAATGGGGAGGAGAACTAAAAAGGCCTGGAGGGGTCAGGAAAGCATCACAGATGAAGTATTTAAGCAATTCGAACACAAAAAAAGAATAAAGTTTCAAAGCCAGAACACGGCATGTGTATGTAATGGGGGGAGGGAGTGAAAAATGCAGCATGAAGAGGTTTGGTTAGGTGACCTTCAAGGTACTTTCCAATCCTAAGTGCCTGCAGAGTGGAAGCTGCTGGTCTTGGAGAAGTCTGGACCACAGAGATCTTCTCCCAACCCAAGCATACCAGAGGGATGCGACACATGCCAGCAGTAACAGCGGCTCACTTGGGTACGGTTCCTTGTGCACAGATCCTACTTTTCCCAGATAATCAGTGAATCTAGTCCTAATTACCCCATTACAAAGAATGGGAAACAAGATTTCCCCAGGTATTATGCTACAAGTCAGTAGCGAGTCTGCAAGTCAGTGCTAGGGCCAAAATCCAGATATCCTGCCCTTACTCCTGTGCTCTTCTTACAGTGTTCCATTAGATCGCAGTATTGCAAAAAGCATGTATTATTAGGCACATATAAAACTTGGCTTTTGTTTTCCCCAGCATAGTGCTGTGTTTTTTTATAGAAATTATTTCAGTCGACACAGCAGTTTTTGGAGGTGGAAGTATAATACCCTTTTTGACAGATAAGAAAGATATTGAGGCTCTGAGGAGTGAAGTGACTTATCCAAAAGCCATATGGTTTGTTGATGATGGGGCAGGGATTTTGGTCCAGCTCTTGTGAGTCCAAAGTCCACTTTCTTTCCACCAACCTGACTGTTCCCGGCAAACCCGAGGAAGGAGATGCATTTTAAGATTCGTATCACCCCTGCACCTCAGTGGTCAGACTACACAGCTCAAGATAGCAAGTGGGTAGTAACTAACAGTGGTGATATGGCATCTTGCCAATGTCAAGTGCCTGGGAATATTTATTACTAATCATACTAATGGACCACAGTGAGAGGGAAAAGTTTCTCTCTGGCTTTTCTTCTAATAAGGCTGGAAGCTTTTCAGGAGCTTCTCTGAGCCAGCCAATATCAATTCAATTTGACCCAGTATCCTCTTGGAATATGAAATTAGCGCTGCAGAGAGGGTCTCCCAGTGGAGTCACTAGCTCCCAGTCCTGCCCCCAGCAACCAGCAGCCAGTGACCAGGTGCAAGTCTGCCTGTGGGGCCGAGAGAACAGCCCCATGAGAATATATGGTCCTTCCATGAATGGCCCACAGATCAAACTCGATACACCTGGAAGACACTATCCATCTCTCCACCCCACCCACACCTCTATCAGTGACCAGGGGCCGGCTAGGTGCCCGGTTCTGTGTGAAGCTCTGCAAGGGGTGCTCACCCTCTTCTTCCCCAGAAGCTCTCCTTCCCAGCGGCTCTGTATCTGTTGGTGGGTTTGCTGTTAGCACTGTCCTTTGTGTGCACCATGTCATCATCTTTAACTCTCCTCTGCCTGACTCCTGCCATCCAGTTTTCAAGCCCTGCTCTCTGTCTGTCTGTCTATCTGTCCTTCACAGCTTCTCTCCCTCCCATCTCCACTGCCAGTGCCCTAGGTCAGCCCTCACCAACTCTCCCTGGTCTCCCTGCCTCCAGGCTGCCACATCCAGGCCATCCTCCATGTGGCCATTCTCCACATGACACCATGGTGATCTTCAGAAATGCAGCCTTCACCTGTGCCCAGTCATCAGATGATCCCCTCTGCCCAAAACACACACACTTAACCTTTGCAGCCTGCTCTTCCTCCCACAGCCCCTCAGCACAGCCCTTCCCCTTGAGCCAGGCTCTGTTACCACACGTACACAGCACAGTGTGCTCGCTCTTGTCTGCACAAAGCCTTCCCTTGATCTCTCCTGCTGTCCTTGTGCTCCTGCCTCTCCAAGCTCCCCAAGTGCCCGAGCTCCGCAGTGCTCATCTGGCTTCCCTCCCACATCCTGCTTTGTCTTGTCAACTGCTGCTTTTTTTTTTCTTTTTCTCCATTCCAGGCTGGGCTGTAGTTGTTCCCAGAAAGGGATCATACTTGTTCCATGCAGAAGGAGCCCAGCACACTTCCAGGCATATCTTTGGAGCTCAGGACAGATTGCTCAGCTAGGCCAGAGGAAGAGAGGACCTGCCATTCTCATGTCCAGCCCTGAAGACCTTTTGACTAGTTTGTGTATTTACATAGCATTTTAGTACAGATTAATAATAGCTATCATTTATTGCATGCCCACTATGTGCCAAGCACTGTGCCAGGCATTCTATAAGTCAGGTGCCATTATTGTCCTCATTTTACTGAGAATAGAAGTGAGCCATAGAGGTGAATCACAGAGCTTGTTCAGGGTCCATGGTCTTGTTTCTGTGTTCTGTCTGCTCTACTGCACTGCCTTTCACAGGCAGGTCTGGAATCTCAGAGACAAAAATTCAAACCGTGGAGCATTGGGTATGAAGTGACTTGAGATTTTGAGTCTTTTTTACCCCATCCCTCCCTTTGCTCAGCATCTTCAAAGCCATGGAGCAGGTCCTGCCAAACGAGGAGCAGGAGAAACTACTGCGCATCTGTTCCATTTATACCCAGAGTGGAAAAAACAGTCTGGTGCAGGAGGGCTCAGAGGCCTCCCCCATTGGGAAGTCTGCGTACACACTGGACAGCCTGTATTGGAGCTTCAAACCAGCCGACTCCAGCTCGGTGCCTGAAGGAGAAGCCCAGCAGCAGGAGGAGCAGGGCAGCCTTAATGATGTCAAGAAAGATGAGAAAGAGGAGAAAGAGGTCATGGAAGACCAGGTGGAAGAGGGGGAAGAGGAGGAGGAAGAGGAAAATAATGACTGGAAGAAGTGGGAGGAGGAAAAGGGTGAAGATGATGATGAAGATGAAGATGATGAAGATGAGGAGGAGGAGGAGGAAGACAGAATGCAGGTGGAACCTTTCTCTACAGTGGAGGAGTCCCCCGCTGCTGAGAATGTGAGGCTCCTGGCCCAGAAAAGAGGAGCTTTGCAGGGCTCTGCATGGCAAGTTAGTTCAGGTAAAAAGCCTGATATCCAATTTCTCTCCATACCAATCTGCTCTCTCTGGCTGGCTCTTGAGGCTTCCCTTCACTCTAGAGAAGAGTTGGAAAGTAGCAGGAGGTAGTCTGCGTGAGACAAGCCTTGGAGGCAGCCTGGTATATGGATGATGGCTAGCTTCCCTTCCTCCTTAGGACAGAACGTGTAACTGCCAGGGACCTGAGCACTGTCATGCTGCCAGCTGCTTCATGCAAAGAGCACATTCAGAGGGTATGGTGTGGGTGCGGGGCCTGCACAGCAAAACAGGAAAAAGAGCTAAGAGTTGGACATATGTCTGATTCTGCATGTTTTTCATGTGCAGTGATGCAGGGGCAGCAAAACAGAACAGTACTTTCTGTGTATATATGAATGTGTATGTACACATGGAGGCTGGGTGGTGATGAGACAGGATTTTGCTGTGTGTATGAAAAAGAAAGAACCCAGGGGCGTTAAGTCAGAGGAAGTGGAAGTAAGATCAGAAGAGTGAAAATAAGGACTGACATGGATTTCAGATGAGCATACAAGTTAGTGAGACAAAGCTGGGATGGCTCAGAGAGAGTTGGGTGATAACAAAGTGGGGGAACATGAATGTGTTCCTCCTGACGGTAGTCTTTTGAGTACCCTCATTTAGGTTTGGGAGCAAGAACCTTAGGGCAGGGCAACCCCAAAGGATGAACAGTCTGGCCTGTGTGTGTGGGCATATTGTATGCATACACACTTACATGTGGGGCACAGCCTATGCGATGGAGCCTGAGGGAGGGGAAACAGCTGGGACTGGGTGTGGTGTAGGGTGGGCATGGTGGGGAACAATAGGGAGAGGGAGGAGACAGGGAAGGAACTTAGGGTGGAAAGTGTAGCCTTTGTCCTTATGTGGATGTGTATGGAAGGGTTGGGGCATAAAGACTGAGTGCTAGGAGTAAGGAAACGTGTGTACGTGTGTGTGTGTGTGTGTGTGAGAGAGAGAGAGAGAGAGAGAGAATGAATGGGTATGTGCCTACACATGCTGGGCAAACCAAAAATCTCTTAGGGCAAGGACATTCGTGTTTGTGGGTCTTTGTAAATATTGAAAGTTAGGGGCATTGACACAGGCAGAATGTGTGTGGAGGGGAGAGAGTAGGGGCTGTGAAGTCATTGCGAAGTCACTGTACATGCATCTGTGCATACATGCACCCATAGTCATGTATGTTTTTGAAAGATGAGGCAGGGTTGCCAAGGCCCATGGGGGCCAGGAAGTATGTATATGAGGGACAGAAGGAGGAGTAATGAGGTGGGGGTATATGGAAAGGTGTGAGAACAGGCAGTGAGACAGCCATCCAGAGATTGCCTGTGTGTATCCATGCCATTCATTACTGAAGGAACATGTACAAGAATATCAGGCTAGAGAGATGGGCAGTGATGTAGACAGGGTAGTGGATGTTGGTGATGGGGAGGGAAGGTGATCAGGTCAGTGACATGGGGGAAGTGATCCTGTGTATGCACATATCTTTGTATGTACAGGGCAGTGCAGGGCATCAAGACAGGCACAACTTCCCACCTGTAAAAGAGCCAAGGGTGAGGAAATAGGGAGGCAGAAGAATAGGCTTTCCTGAGGGACTTCTATCGGTAACATAAAAAGTTAGTCCAGGGTTGATATTTCCTAGAATGTGTTATGACAGGAAGAAGTCTTAGGTACCAGGAAAAAACAGGAGGCCAGAAACTGTCTCCTTGGAGAAGCTCATCAGTGAAGGCTTCAAATGAAAACATTGGATATACTGGTGTAAGGATGGGGACAGGGATTTAGTATAATACTGTGGAGGGTGTTTAAGTGATAGAACAGAGTGAGTGGAGAGTGCCTAACATAGTCTATTCTCAAATGGAGTATCTGGGGGATGGGGGTGGTAAGGAGTGTTTTGTGAATGTGGAAAGACTAGGACATCAAAACCTTTCCCTCTCCCTTTTGCCTTTGCTTCCTCTGTGTGCACACATATGTGGGGATGCAGTGACATTAAGATTCCTGGGTTGTGTGCCTGTGAATGAGCAATGTAGGAGGCAGGGAGTGAAACTGAGAACTTTCTTTTAACAGAGGGCTTGTTCTTTGTGCTTTTGTGTACACTTAGGTGGTGGGGTGGGGGTATGCAGGGAGACAGTCCCTCTCTAAAGAAGGGATGTTCTTTCTGTGTGCAGCAGAGGGCAATAAGGCCCTGAAGCGGGCAGGGGGAGCATAATATCTCTGAGAGTGAGTCTACCTTGAGGTAGTACTTGGGTATGTGTGTAAATCTGTCAAGACAAGGTGACTAAAAAATGGCATTGCATTCAAACATGTCAGGGAGTTTACATATACATATGTAGGAAATATAGATCTTTCAGAGACTCTGAGGTATCTGTGGGTTTGGGGAGGAGGTGTGGTGGGAATTCTGAGGCATCCACACTCTCCAGGACATATATTTGTGTGGAAATAGGGGTGAGGGTGAGAGTGAGAGGTTGAGGTAGTGATACAGCCAGGTATGAAGCAGATATCATTGTCTGTGTCTGTGTGGGGACATGTTTGGGGACATGAGAGAAGGGTGGAGAGGAATAAAAGTGTCTGGAGTTCTGTGCATGGTGTGTAGGTGAGTTGTGGTAGTGGTGTGTATGAACATATAGAGGGGAAGAAGGACCATAAAGAGTATATGGGGAAATGGGGAAGGGGTGGGGAGTAATAAGGTAGAGGAGCTCAGGAGAGTGCTACAGAGAGGAGTGAAATTGGAGATACATAGAGCCCATGCCCTGTGGAGGTGGGCCTGAGAACTAGTTAATCAATCCACTCTTGTCTCCTCCCTTTGCTCCACAGAAGATGTACGGTGGGACACCTTTCCCTTGGGCCGAATGCCAGGTCAGACTGAGGACCCAGCAGAGCTTATGCTGGAGAATTATGAAACCATGTATCTCTTGGACCAACCTGTGTTAGAGCAGCGGCTGGAACCCCCAACATGCAAGATGGGGTGAGTGCTCGTGGCGGCAAGGTTCCTCAGCCTGTTCTCTGACTCCTGCTGGATGGAGGGAGGGAGAGAACAAGGGAAGCGGGGAGGAAGGGTGGGAGGGAGGGAGTGAGGGAGGGAGGAAGGAAGAAGACACAAAGTGGGGTGGGTGGAGGAGGTATCTGTCCCCATTCAGGGCCTAAATAAGTGAAGTATAAGCTCCAGTCCCTGGCTGGGCCCTTGCCAGGACTCCTAGCCCCTAGTGGGGGGTGCCAGTGAGGCAGCCATGCAGAACTGGCTTGGTACTCCTCTTGGATTCCATCCGCTTTGTGTCTGTGTGTGAGTGTATATGTATGTGTGCATGTGTATTTTGGGAGGAGAGAGTTCCATAACTTTCAACAGAATCTCTAAAGCAGCGGTCCCCAACCTTTTTGGCACCAGGGACCGGTGCTACTATGAGAATCTAATGCCTGATGATCTGAGGAGGAGCTGAGGCGGTGATGCTAGCGCTGGGGAGCGGCTGCAAATACAGATGAAGCTTCGCTCGGTCGCCGGCCACTCACCTCCTGCTTTGTGGCCCAGTTCCTAACAAGCAAAGGACTGGTACCGGTCCACAGCCCGGAGGTTGGGGACCCTTGCTCTAAAGGGTCTACCACTCCCAAAAGATCAATAACAGATGCTCTAATCCAACTTCCTCATGTTCCTGAGGAGAAAACTGAGCCCCAGAAAGGGGAAGAGATTTGTCCAAAGGTGCACAGAATAATCGGTAGGCCTTCCCACACTGTCCAGGTATCTTTGTAGCAAGGCCTGCACAGAGCTTCAAGTTCTCCCTCAAAACTCACCTCTGGATCACAGGTGTGAGAGCTCTTGGGTTATCAGGGAGCCTCAGGAACCAAGCAGCCCTTACTGAAGAGAGTTCTGCTGGTAACACAAATGAGCCTGTCCAGGGGTCCTGTACATTCTGGAATGTGGGGCCATTGTAACTAGGAGAATCCTGTGTGTAACCAGTGAGGGACTTCTGTGGGACTCTGAACTGATAGTGTATCCCTATTTTACCTGTCTACTCCCTGGGAGATGAGCCTCTCTTCCTCTGGACATTTGGGGGAAGGGGCTATAGAACCCAGAGTACCAGCAGCAGGCCAGGCCCAAGGCAGTGCTATGGACTCTATCCAAGGTCAGGGGGCAGCAGGCTTCTTGGAGAGAAGAGGAAGCAGCTGGGGAAGCCAGGTGGTGTGTAGTTGGGAGTGGGGCCCACACATCTGAGATACCGGCACCTTCTCTCCCCTTGGATAAAGGTTGGCTTGATGAACACCAGAGTATCAAAGGTGAAGTGTGGGCAGGTGCTGCTCTTAAATCTGGAAGGAAGCTGATTTGCCCAGCTCCCACACCCCCTGTATTAGGGAGGCTTCCTCCCCTAGAGCACACATTCTCACCCCTGCTCCTTGTCTCAGCTCAAGCCTGGACTAGGCTTTGTGCCTTAAGCAAGTCCCTTTTCATCTCTGGGCCTCAGTTCCCTTATCTGTAAGATGGTGTGCAGGGCGGGGGGCGGGGGAGGGAGAGGATGGGAGGGAATTAGATTTATAAGGGTTTTTTCAGCTGCAGTAGTGTAACCATGGATCTGCCTGCGAGGAGGGATGATGGCTTTGCTCTCAGCTGTCACTCCCATCTACCTGGAAGGACCTTTGACCTGCAGTAAGCAGGGAAAGCAAGAGTGTTCTGAACAGGACCAGAGAAGGAGAAGGGGCAGTGTCTCCTGAGAGCAATCTTGAAATCCTGGGTTGGGAGCTGGGTCTAGCCCTGCAGCCTAAGACTGGCCTTGGGCTTCTTAATCAGCTGTTGGGTGTGGGAGGGATCCAGCCCTGGGTCCTCTGGGCCCCCAAGGTCTAGGGCCTTGGAAGAAGGCCTGTTAAGGCAGCCACTTTCAATATCTTCCTGTGGGTGGGATGGTGCAGGTCTCCCTCTCCTACCTCAACCCAAATAGCTCTGCTTTAATCTGGTTTATATACTGGGGCTCTGCATAAAGTCCTACTTGAAAAGTTCTACTTCTTCCCACTCTCCCTCAACTGAGGGAAGAGCAGAGTCACCATGGGGGCCCATCTGAGGTAGTTTCTCAGATTTGTTCTAGTCTCTTTCTAAAGCCAGGCAGGAAGGTGGGCCCTTTCCATAGACACACATGCATCAAGCACCCTTAGTCTTTCCAGAGCCTAAAATTGCTTTCTTCCCTGACTGACCCCCACCCTCTCCACAGCACCCTGGGCCTGAGCTGTGGCCTCGGCAGTGGCAACTGCAGTGGCAACTGCAGCAGTGACAACAGCAACTTGGAGGGCCTCCTCTGGAGCCAAGGCCAACTGCATGGTCTCAAAACTGGCCTGCAGCTCTTCTGATACCCGCCCTGTGCCATCTATTCTTGGGCAGCCGTCCTCGCCCCCCGACCCCACAGTGCACCTGATGTTCCATGAAACAACCTGGGAGACGTCCTGAATCAGCCGCATCAGCTCAGCTTTCACTATGATAGAATTTTAATCATGCTTTGTTTTTTGTTTTGTTCTTTTTGAAAAAAAAATAAACAGGCAACTATTGTTTTGGTGTTTCTGAGATGAAGTGGTGTGTGCTGAGGCAGACCAATGTAGTTCTCTCTTTATTCTGGGGGCTCTAGAGAAGGTGAGATCATAACAGGGCTTTGAGTGGGAGCTGGGGCCTGAGGCCCCTTGGGCTCACTGCCCCTGATTGTTTCTACTACCAGGTTTCACTTATACATTCTTCCTGACTCAAAACATTTTTGCTCCACTCTGCTGTATAGTAGGGCCAGCTCACTCAGAAACATCAGACCCCAGAAGAGAGGCATTGCTGGCCACAGAGTCCAGCCAGCATCAGGGGAATCTGCTCAGAACCTCCCAGACAGTGGGAAGATCCAGGCCTTCCAGGTGTTACCCAGCAGACTTCTGACTCATTTCCCTGCCTACCCTCCTTGGGCATCAAACAGCAGTTAAAAGCCGATGAGAAACCTTTCTTTGTTACTTTCCCACTCCTTTGGCCTAGAAGAGATAGAGGGGACTTCTCCACAGTAGGCACTGGAGCCAGAGAAATACCTTAGAGACTGACCCAGAGCTCCTCTATGGTCACCCAATTGCCTCAGACTCTGAGTGACTACTTGGTGTCTGCCCTGAGCTTCCAAGAGATAGGGATGGATAAAACATGTTCTCACCCTTCAGATCCCTCTGCCTGGTGAGAAAAGACAATGTCACCAATTATGATAACCCGATGCCTCTGCTAAGTGCCTCAGCAAAGCTCTAGTGTGCCACAAGTTCTTTGTTTTTTTTTTGATGCTATTTCCAGTGTGGTGGTTGACTGATGTCAAGTCTGGCTACAGTATCCTTTGTCTCCACTCTGGGGAGAGTAGCTGGGTAAGACAGTGGGCATCTCTGGGGTCAAGTTTGCGAACAGAAATAGAACCAGACAACATTTTAGCCAAGAACCTGATCCAAGAAGTGGTTAAGCCAAGGAATTATGGAGAGGGCTAATACTATGAAAATGCCAAGGAGGAATTTAGTGGAAATGTCATGCCAGAGCTTTTAACTTGAGTTAGGACCCTTGGGGAGTCCTCAACACCTTTTAAAGGGTATCCTGAATATAATCTTTTCTAGAGCTGGTCCACAGATCAAATCCAATTATCAAAGGAATCCATGAGCCCACCAGCCCAACAGTTAAGATTTCCTGTCCTGTGTGGACCCAAGCATTAGCCATGAGCAAAGCAGTCTCCTGCACTGATTAATATAAAGTCTGTTTCCTCTCCTGCCACAAGAGGACATGCTGTCTTTTTGCATCCTGGAATGTCAGAGCTAAAGGAGGACTCAGGAGCGTCTAGGCCACATCTAGTCAAGGGATTTGCAAAAGTATTCTGGGATAACTCAGTACTTGCTCCATGGGAAGATGGGTGCTATAAGCTCTACCACCTCTTTAGAGCAGCCTGGATTTTATCTATTGTGTATATTTGGTATCATACATAGGATCTTTTTTCTTTTTGCAAAATGAGTTTTTGCTGCTAAAAAAAAGTTTTGAAATCATAGTTTTAGTTTAGCCCCCTTATTTCATGCATTGAGACACTGCGGTAGACAAAAAGAAGGGATTTGTCCAAGGGTAAAGAACACGTTAATAGCTCGGTGTAGATCCATATTTCTTGCAACCACAGCATCACCTGGGTGCTTGTTAGAAATGCAAATGTTGAACCCTACTCAGTAACTGAATCAGGGAGGTTGACAGTGGGCAGTAACCTGGTTTAACAAGCCCTTCAGGTGTTTCAGATGTATGCTAAATTTTGAGATGTACTAGTAGAGGAGAAAGCTACACAAAGAACTAGGTTCCAGGCAAGCTCCACCACTTAATGGGAGCAACCTTGGGCAGATCATGGCACAATTTCAACTGTAGAAGGAGGATAACTGTCTTACAGGCTTCTTATAAGGATCAAAAAAGATAACATATGAAAGTATTCTCTAAAGTTTATCATGCTTTGTATATATGAGTATTGTGGATTCATTCCAGGATTGGTGGGTCTTAAATTCAGGACTCAAATCTCTATATAACCTAGGACAAAGTGCAAAGACTAGCCTAAAGATGGGGAGCAGGCTCTCTGAGCTATCTGGAATATCATTTCTAGTCCAGGTTCAGGGAGTGTAAGAGCCAAAGGTTATTGTTGGCTAGAATTCTCCTGAAACCTGGGATTTGCAAAGCCAGGTCTCTGCATGGGATGCTTCAGATGGCAGGGATGGGGTGGGTGTTGGGGTTAGGGAGGAGGGTGATGGAGGACCAGCCAGGAAGCAACCTTAACACACTGTCCTTGGACCTTTTCCTTCTGACTAGAGAACAGAGACATTAGAAAACGGCTTTCAACAGCACACATTTAACTGTGGAACAGGGTTGGGGATCAAGGGAAGGGTATAGACTATATTATTATTCAACAACAGTAATTGAGTCACCCCTTCTGAAAGTTGATAATTCATCTTTGATGAAGAACATGACTCCTACTCTGTTTCTTGGAGGAGTCTACATGCCAACATAACAGAGTGACAAGTGCTAAAATAGAGATATTGTTCAAATTGAGTGCAAGGCCCACTGTGAGGAAGGACTAACACCGTCTGGACAAAGGTGGGGTAGCTTAATAGAGGAGGTGACATTAGCAGTGAGTCTTTAGAGTCAACAGTTTGCTAGTCAGAATAAGGAGTAGAAGGAAACTAAAAATCTGGAAAGGGTAAGATAAGAAAAGAGCACATCATGTTATGGCACCTGTGAAGGGTCCAAGGTGATTGGAACATGGGTTATATGAAGAAAATGTAGGTCTTGAGGCCAAAGAAGTAAGCTAAAGAGGGATATGGTCAAACTAGTAGTTTTTCCTCCCAGGATTAGGGAGAGGCATGGAACATTGAATTGTCCTTTTTTGGGGATTCTAACTAATCTTATTACTCCCCCTACCTTCATGCTGCCACTGCTCTCCAAGAAAGTCTTTTTTAAAGTTAAATGTATTGAGATAACATTGGTTAATAACATTGGTTAATAAGTTTCAGGTATACAATTTTATAACAAGGAAAATCTTTATTAATTTATAAGTATACTTCATTCCCTCACTAGAGTGCAAGTTCCAGAAGACAGGAACTGTTTCTTCTTGTTTGGTCTCTCTCTAGCCCAGTACAGGCCAGGTTCCTATTTAATACTCAGTAAGAACTTGATATGGGTATGCTTGAGAAATGTGAGAGAATGCAGCAAGAGTAAAGAGACAGAAGAGGATGAGGGCAGGGAGAGATGAGTACTCTTAGTCTCAAGAAGAATGATAAAAGAAAAAAAAACGTATAGTCTCAGATTCAGGAATAGCCTCCCAAAGGCTCCTAGGTTGGGCTCCCCTGCAGCCACTGTGGCCACCTCTGCCTTTAGAATGAGACTGGCCTGGAGTGGCAAAGGTGAGGAATAGGGGATGGGGAAGGATGAGTAGGAAACTCCAGAGAGGCCTGAAGGAAGAGCAGAGACCAGTGTGATAAAGGGCTCACTGGCCTGGAGCAATGAGGCCAGGGTTCCAATCCTGGCTTTGCCACTAACTCACTGTTCAACCTTGGTCAAATCTCTTCAGTTTTTGGAGTCTCAGTTCCCACACCTATAATCTGATTGTGTTGATGCAGCTGAACACTCCCTGAGTGACTTTTCTGTGAAGTGCAGGGTGCCAGGCCACTTCTAGATCTGATATTCTGGCTAAGGCTCAGCAGATGATATGTCTGTGACTCTGAGGCTATTCAAGGAAAACACTATAGGTTTTTCACAGAAAGAAGCCTTGGCTCCAAGCCCTCCACCTTACTCTGACCCACCAGTGGAGGCCTGGCCCAGCCCAATCCTGTGGGAAACATCAGTTTTCTAGCATTCGGAGCTGTGTTAGCATACAAAAATGAGAGGGCATATGCTTACTGTGATAAAACTCAGACAAACTCATCTGGGGAGATCTCTCTTCTAATAGTTTATCTCAAGATGCAAGTCCCAAGGACAGAAATTCATTTTTTTAAGACCAAACTGGAGTGTGTGTATATGTAAATGTGGTATGGCTTTTGATGTTGCGGTTCTTAAAGAAACAGAGCCATTAGTGGTTAGTAGACAAATAGTTTATGCAGTAAATAAGTGTGGTTACAGTTCACTGTTGTCAATGATACAGCATATATCATGATGATAGGTGAAACAAATAGAAACCTCGTGGAGTAGTAATAGCACATTCATGCTAGTAAGAAAGTATTGCAAATCATTGCACGTGCATTATAGGGGCAGACAAAACTGGAGACAGAGTATATTTTCACTCACCTCTGGTTGGCTTTATATATTTTGTCATTGAGACTTACATTATGTTTGGGTTGAACAAAAAACCCAAAGAGGTTTTATAAAAGTTTACAACCATTAAACAGTATTGTTTAATCCCACAAATGGATAAAGCAAACTACTATAGCTCAATGATTCACAAACCAGGACTAAAAATAGTCAATCTGCCTATGTATATAGCTAGCTAAAATATGATAGATATTGAATATGCTGTGTCTTTTCAAAGGCATCAACTACTTTAGACAAGCAGGTTCCCAAAATATACTGGTTTGGTTTCCAATGAGAACTAACTGTAGTGTCATTTCATTTGAAGACTATGCACTCCTCAGTTTCAGACCTGAGAAGAAGCAAACTAAGGGAAGGCAGAGAAGGGTTAGGAGACCTGAGCAGGACTCTTTGGACAGCTCAACATTACTTTCCCTGTACAGTTCCAGACCTGGTTCACAGAGTAAAACAAAGTGTATTGAAATTGTTGGTCTCAAAAAGGGCATTTGTACAATGTCCCATACTTACAGCATAGATAGAATGGTAACTGAGTGACTCTCAAAATGAATTATTTTTTTATTAGAAGAAAATCCAGTGCCAAAGGTTAATGGATATCAATGTTTGAATACCATATAAAGATAATTTATTCTAAAATAGAAAAAAAAAAGAGATTTAGAAGTATTCTCCTGGAAACTAGCAGAGAGACAGAGAGAGAGAGAGAGAGAGAGAGAGAGAAAGAGAAAGAGAAAGAAGTATATATATACGTGTCTATA